CAATGAAAATAGTCTTTCTCTGTGAAAAAGCACCTATCACATGCGCACTCAGGACAAGGTCTAATTTTTGGCCTTCGCATTCAGTCCCTGGGGTCCGCCGTGCAAATCACAGAATCGGAACAGCACAGCAGAATTTGGGTAGCGGGCTGACATGGTAAGCCGTAGACTTGTGGCAGCTTAAAACTTTCATAATAGCACTGCCCTACTTTCACGTTCAAAGCAATGCTCCTAGCGTTGGCCAGTTCCTGCTGCCAGCAATCCGGCAAGCATGAACTCTGCCCCTGTCCCACCCCCTCGCGGCTGTCCCCGGGAAAGATCCCTCTATGCTGCCCCTCTCCCGCCTCCACCGCATGGCTGTAAACTGCCGGTTACAGTTCTGTAAAGGAACAGGCAAGCAATCCCAATACTAACATTCCCCTAATTCAAAGCTGATGCGTATTTCAGACAGCGACAAAGAACGCATGCTTCGGGAAAGCCTGCAAAGACCAGGGCCGTATGCCGCCATGCTGTGCAAGGCAATGATACCGGAGTACTTGATGGTAGCCTGGCGCGGAAACGTTTCATACTACGGAGGACACAACATGGCCGCTCTGCCAAGGAACCTCATGCAAAGGCTTTCCAATTACCTCCAGGAGAGCTTCATGGAGATGTCCCCTGAGGATTTCTGCTCTATCCCCGGACATATTGACCAAATTTTACTGTAGCTGCACTGGCAAGGGCTAAACAGTAGAGCGCCTAGGGCAAACCAATCAAGATATACTGGACATTGTTAGATTTTTTTGCAGCAGTTGCACTACCAAAGACTAGAACTTTAAGTGCCTAGGACAATCTAATCATGAAAAAGCCACAGTTATTATTAATATTCTTTTCAAAATAAATGTTTATATGTTTAATCCACTTACCGGCTGATCCTTCCCCTGATTCTGGATCCGGGTTAACGCCTGGGGACGGTTGGTACGGGATCTCCGTGAGGGTGATGAAGAGATCCTGGCTGTCTGGGAAATCAGCGTTGTAAGCGCTGTCGACTGCCTCGTCCTCCTCATCTCCTTCCTCATCTTCCCCGTCTGCTAACATGTCCGAGGAACCGGCCGTGGACAATATCCCATCCTCAGAGTCCACGGTCAGTGGTAGGGTAGTGGTGGCGGCTGCACCTAGGATGGAATGCAATGCCTCGTAGAAACGGCATGTCTGCGGCTGGGATCCGGAGCGCCCGTTTGCCTCTTTGGTCTTCTGGTAGCCTTGTCTCAGCTCCTTGATTTTCACGCGGCACTGCGTTGCATCCCGGCTGTATCCTCTCTCTGTCATGGCTTTGGAGATCTTCTCGTAGATCTTTGCATTCCGTCTTTTCGATCGCAGCTCCGAAAGCACGGACTCATCGCCCCACACAGCGATGAGATCCAAGACTTCCCGATCAGTCCATGCCGGGGCCCTCTTTCTATTCTGAGATTGCATGGCCATCTCTGCTGGAGAGCTCTGCATCGTTGCCAGTGCTGCTGAGCTCGCCACGATGTCCAAACAGGAAATGAGATTCAAACTGCCCAGACAGGAAAAGGAATTCAAATTTTCAAATTTTCCCGGGGCTTTTCCTGTGTGTCTGGTCAGAGCATCCGAGCTCGGACTGCTGTCCAGAGCGTCAAGGGAGTGGTGCACTGTGGGATAGCTCCCAGAGCTATTAGCATAGAATTCCATCCACACCTACCCTAAATCGACATGGCCATGTCGAATTTAGCGCTACTCCCCTCGTTGGGGAGGAGTACAGAAGTCGAATTTAGGAGACCTCTATGTCGAACTAAATAGCTTTGTTGTGTGGACGGGTGCAGAGTTAATTCGATTTAGCACTGCTAAATTCGACATAACCTGCTAGTGTAGACCAGGCCTCAGCTTAAGGGACTTGCATATATGTACATATATCGCTGCCTCAACAAATAATGCAATTGAAAACAAAAAGAATTTCCTTTTATTAATCACAGTTTTGTTTTTCATGTTTATTTTTATTTTATATTCAAAGACAGAAAGGTTAAGGTAATATTAATATTAATAAAATGTCAATTTCATGTTTGGGTTTTGTTTGGGTTTTTATAAACTTGTTTGCACTTTTAAATTTAGTGATAAAAATGTCATAGCAAAAATGTTTAACCATAACAAGTTATGCATAAAGCTAACCAAACCATTGCAACAGGTTCCCACCTTTTCAACGCGCTTCCACCTTTGCCTCCCAAACACAACCAAGTGTCAGAAAATTTAGTATCTTCAAATTATTTGCATTGACCTGTATTTAAAATTCATTTTGGTTTAATTCTCTTTTAAGTTATGTTAAAGGGAAGTAGTGGTTGCTAATGTTTGTGCTTCTAAACAGTTAACAAAAGTGTAATTGGTATCACAAGCAAATTAACTCTAAAAAGCTTGATAAAATTATGTTACTAACTCTTTTGTTAAAACAAAGTGTTCAGCAAGGGAAAGCGATACACCTTCTCCTGGAAGATTGTGAACATCTATTTTAGCTGTTAAGCATCACATTTAGTATAAAATATTAGTAATGAGTGACGTTGCACCCCATAATGCTTTATGGAAACATGTATGACAGAAGGACTGAGTGAGTCTTTCATCATTACCGAAGTAGCATTTGCTTGACAAGGGACATGGGTGAATTGCAAAAATTGACAAAAGCCAATGAATTGAGAGAGGATGGGGACAGGTATTTATACCTGATGGTATGCCCTCCCCCCCCCCCCGTC